CAACTCTGCTGCTTCGTTTAGTGATGGTGCATGTGCACACTTTAAGAACAATGCCAGCATTTTGAACCTGATTCATCACAAGATCGATTTTGATTTGGACGCTTGTTAGACGTTTCCAGCTACAGGTCATGGGAAAGGTGCTGGTGATGGGATAGGTGCAGTACTGAAGTCCATCGCTAGACGTGCTACACTTTCCAAGAATATTCTCATGTCAAATGCAAAAGACTTCTACGAGTTCTCACAAAAACAACAGCTTGAAATAGCAAGAAAATCCAACAAAGATATTCCTGGTGTTCATGTCTTCTTTCTAGAATCAAATGAAGTAGAAGAGGTTAAAAGCAATTATTTGAATGCTAGAAGCGAACAACAGGTGAGAAAGACCTTTGCTTCTATTCTTTTATGTCCGTATTGTTTTAGGTACAATACAAGGCATCCGAACTATGCATGAATTCAAACCGATTAGCGATTCAACGGTTCAATATAGTTACGTCTCTATCAACACAGATCAGGACATTTACGTTCAAATAAAAACCCCTTTTATGTCTTTTCCAGTCGATCAAATTTTTTAAACTCAGACTTGATGATGATACACAGCACTCAGACAGATTGAACAGCTCTTTCCATTTTCTCGCTATATTAGGTTTCTTTAGTCTTAGATTCATGAATCTAGAGAAAATGACTCTTCACTCAGGACTTTCAATAGGACGGCCTAATGTTTCTAGACTTGTTTTAGATTTCTGAACACAAAAAAATTCAAAAAAAATTGCTTTTGAACAAGTTCTAGGTTTTTTCTGACATTTTCTCTATATATAAAAACATATCATAGGTGTTTCGAAAAACTGCTTCAAAACTCGCGATTTTCAATAGAAAGGACTTATTTTTTTTTCATCAGAAGTGTTTTCTAGAGCATACTGATACTTTGACGCGAAAAAAAATCGAAAAAAAAAACCTTTCCAAAAAAGTGGATGGGTCCTCATGGATTCACCCATATACATAAGTGTACGACCTTCATACGAGCGTATCATTATAACTTGTAGTTTCCTTTTGCACAATTTAGCGCGATGGAAAAATGCATAGTTGGAGAAGTACAGCGTATGGAAAGTCGGAAGATCGAATCCAGGAGAAGAACACCTAAAAATTGTTCTAAAGCCTAATTTTGTACTTATAAAAGTTTTCTACTCATAGAACGCTTGTAGTCACAATTTTTTTTTTTGGACTCGATTCTTTTCACACTATCTCTTTTGCCCTTAAATATTCATCATTTTTAATTTTCTCCGTTTTTTTCCTTTTTATTTTTAGTACGAAAAAATCAGCTGGAGCCACAACAACAACCCCGTCAGCAGAGGGCTGGGGCAACTCCGCTGACTTCCAATTCCAACTCCGTTTTCAAATTTCCGATCCAACTCCAACTCTGCTCAAAATCTTTCAACTCTAACTCCAACTCCGTCAACGAAAATCTCAACTCCGGTTGCTTCACTTCTGTAAGGAAGATTTTTCGGTTTTAGCGGAATTTTGGACGTTTTTGAACTTTTTCCGGTCGGAAAGCGCAAAGAACTTCCGAAATCACTTGTGGAAACAGCCATCGTTTAGAACATCAGTTTTACAACTATTGAATATTTCCAAAAATGCAAAACGGAGTTGAGAATAAAAATTCAAAAGCCCAACTCCAACCTCCTAAAATCTTAACTCCAACTCCACCGAAAAAATCCTCAACTCCGGAGTTGGAGTTGCCCAGCCCTGCGCCAGCAAATGATTTTAATGAAGAATTGGATGAAATACGTATGGCTGACAACGATCAAGTGTCAGATGAATGTATTGTAGATAGCAGTGATGACTTGGAAGACGATGAGTATGCTCCATCAACTGAGGAACAATCAACAGTCGATGAAAGTGATACTTTCTCTATCAGTAGCAGTATCATCGATGAAGAAGATAATTTAACACAGTCACAACAAGAACGTCAAGTATAAGAAGAAGAACAACCACAAGAATTAGAGAATTTATTATTACACCCTGAAGAACTGAAGAAAAAATAAATTTTTTATTGAAAGGAACACGTACATTAATACCAGTGATTCATAACTCAAGTATTTTAACTTCGTTTGTTCGTGATGAAATACAACGAAAACAAATTGATTTAGACACAGCTGCTGATTTCAATAGTGACGAGAAAGTCAAGGTAAATGAACTCGTAAGAAATTTTCATGTACGTTGGAATTCAGCATATCAAATGCTCACTCGTTTATTGGCAGTTCAACAGATAATAAATGACATAACATATACACCACAACTAGGGATGTTACGAAGCTGAACCTAGGTTCGAAGTTCGGCATCGAACAGTTCTAGTTCGAAGAGGTTCGAAATCGAACTTAAGTTCTAGTTCGACTTTAAATTAACGTTAACGCAGGTTTAGCAGCAATGTTGGCTAGACACGGCTCGTAGAACGTGCCTGACCTTTTTTGACGCTGAAAACTCTGGGCGGACATAATTTTTCATCGTCTGTCCTTAGGTTCATGATACTTAACGAATTAGTGTTGCCGCTAGAAATGAGTGTCTCACACAGGTTGCAGCAGTCTGTCATTTTCAAAACATTCTCGCTTAGTGTATATGATAATAATTTTTAACCTTTTAAGATATTCTACATTTTAAGTCTATCACATATAACACTCTTATATCAAAACATTTATTTCTCCCTCATAGAGCAGGCGTCCAGTTTTAGAATTTTGTTCTTCGTCCTTTTAAACACAAGTGCACTGTACTTCTTAAAAATTGTGACACATCTTTCGTGTTCTTAACACATACGTAGCAGAGCAAAGAAAAGAAAAATAATCGAGATATTTGTACAGACTAGTCACTAACATTTTTGTGCAAAAAGTATGCCTTGAGAGTATAGATACATACATATCTTATCGTAAATCTTCACTAGTGAACAAAAGATGATGAACTTAAGAAGTGGTGCCAAATCTAGAGGGTCACTGTCAAACATACCTTTTCTCTTTTCTGACACTCCCCGTCTCACAGTCTCAAATCCTGTTAACAGATCTACTGCTTCGAGCACCGTAAACCCTTCTACTCATACAATCTCACATGCTGATGATAATATTAATAGTGCTAGTAATACGGTAATCCCATCATTATTATCGTCCTCTGCTGCTACTCTCGCACAATCAAAAGTTTGAAATTATTTCACACGCATGCAAGATGCATCCGAATAGCACCTAAGAAAAAGTGATTCAGCAACTATCGCAGAATGTTTTGTTCTCATTCATATTTCTTTTTATGCGCTTAAAATAGCAAACTTCTCGGAAAAGGTTACGACCTAAAAGGTTCTATTTGTTATTTTAACCGTTACCCTTTCTTTCGTTTTAGGATATAAACTGCCGTTTAGACAACGTGTTCAAAAAAGTTTAAAGCGTTTGCATACAGCACATATAACATTCAATATCGGTCCTGAGATCGAGCGCCACCTGAAAGAATTAAAAAGTTTTGATAAAGTTACATCGGTCACATGTGATGGTTCGAATAATATGTGAATTCGTTTGAACATCTCAGCCGAAAAATCGATCGTTTATGGTGCTTAGGTCACAAACTCAATTTAATTGTTTGCAATGGGCTCGGTTTCTGGGCTAAGACATCTAAGTCACGGAAAAAAGGCGCACTTGATAATGATGAAGATACAGACGATGACGATGAGAGATTAAGTCAACCCCTTGTTAAAATATTGTTGGATAATACGTCAGATTTCAGTGATGATGAAAATGAGGATGAAAAGGTATTTTTTCACTTTTTTCCTTTCTGAATCGATGAAACGGAGTTGTCATTAAGTGAAGAGTGAGGACAGATTTCCGGAGAATTACTTTTTTGTAGGCTGCTAGCTGTTAATGAGAGCATGCGCCACGAAACTATGTGGGACTTTCCTAGTCGAGCTTCACGTTTCCAACGATCCAAGAAGTAAAACTTATTTAGCGGCTTGTCCAAGCGTGACGCTGTGACATTTTTGACACAGTAATTTGAGCTTTTCTCAAAAAGTGTAAGAGCTAGAAACTTCGTTCTTGCGCCATTCGACGCAGCTCGCCATACTCTACTTTTGATA